CGAGTTTGCGCGCAAAATTTAAAATTAATGTGCCAAATGCTTACTTTATTCTATGTAAATTATTCAGAAAAAAACAAACAAATCAGTGAATCTTTGTCACTGTTTACTTTTTTTCAGAGTAAACTCATATCACTTTATTAGTGATTCATTGAATAACGGGTGAATCGATGAGATTGGAATGGTAAAAATTAGGAAAAAGAAAAACAATTTTCATGCATGATGTCCCTACATTGTTGCTTTATAAATTTATTTGATTGAATTATCAATGAATTGATTAATGTTGATTTTGTATACGATAATGAATTTTCTATGGGACTATTTATGGTGATGAGAAAAAATTCAGACCAATTATGTTGAAATATATTTGGATGGATTTATGAGTCAATTTAAGCTAGACTGCCATTGAAAGCCTAGAAGTACTGGACTGTCATTTCGTCTTAGTATGTAACTCCTCAATAGCGCTTATTCACAATCCAGCACGTGGAACTACTACTATCTCCACAAGATAATTTTAACGTTGCTGTTGCCTTGTTTATTCATTATAGTTTAACCGATCCAATTAATAATTTATGAATTATATGTATATATATTCGAATAATACAGAATTATAAACATTGTCTGTTTAGCTTAATTGATTCTTTAATTTCGATCTAATTCTATGAAACAATTGATCTGAATTTGATTAGCTTCTCATTTTGTATCGGTGCATTCCATGTTGATAATAAGTAAAACTATTTTTTTCAAAAGGCATGTCAATTTTGTTAGTTGTATATAGTTATGTGGTTGTAATAATGAATCAATATCATACCTTTATCAATGAGAAAAATACAAATTGAGCACAGAAACACATATATAAATTAAGCCAATACAAGTAATCTTATGTCAGTTAACGACACCAACTACATTTAAATTTGGTATCCTTGTTGTAGAACAAATGAAAATCTAGTTTCAAATCACACAATGACTTGGGTTAAACAAAGAAAACATTTTCCACACATTTTTACACTAAAAAAACCGTAATATGAAGACTAGTGACTAACTTTGAGAGACAATACTCAAAATTCTAGTGAGAAACCGTGTCAAGCGGATTTCAACACTGAAGGGCGTTAAATGGATATGTTTGTTGGTAATGGATGACGGTTAAGGATATCTTCAACTAACTGAGGCTAAAAGCGAAACCCATTGAATCTCAAATCGGTGGTTTAAAAGTCAAACAGTTTTTGCAAAACCCGTAAGCACAACGTTTGATCCTTGATGCGATCGTCAATACAAACTGTCAGGGACTATCAACACTAAGAAAAAATAGTTGTCCATCTTCTTAATTTTGAATCCTTGTTTGATCAAAACTAGTCCCCGATTTAAAACTACAAAATTAAACATTTTCCACAACTGTCTATCCTAAAAAACAGGTATGTTGGTGTAAATTATTCCTTAAATAAAAATCACGAATAGAACAATCGCGTTATCGATCGAAATTGATCGATTATAGATAAAACTTAACGATAGTAATAATAATAATAATAATAATGAATTCATGCTGAAATTGTACACATTAAATTATAATGACAGAAATAGTTGCGGTGCATTCAGACATATGAGGGTTGAATACATTTAAGTGTATCGATTTATTTTATAAATTCAAGGTGATAAAATTTACGCATAGATATTAAAATCATTCAGAGAAATGCATGGAAATATTCATTTTATATCATACTACGTTACCTAAACTATATCACTCAGTCCATTAATGACTCATATTGAAACAGTTCCTTGAAGTTCTAATGAGAATTCATGACTAATGGAATTCGGACATGACTAAAGTACTCCCTAATAAATAGTAAAAGATATTAATCACGCTATTTAATGGATTATTTGAAGTTGAAAACGTGTACCAGTGAATGCTAGCTTAACTCTTCTGACAGTTAAGTAGTCACCCCCAGCTGTAAAAGTTATAGATAGATGGGAATGTATGCACATACTGATGAGGAGCTCCACATTACAGCTTGGTTTAAAGTAATACTCCGATTAAGTTCGATTCATGAGGTAAACCACATAAAAATTGATAGAATTGACAGATATACTTATATTTTGCATAGAAACATTTATTTCTATGGAAAATTATCTGACATAAATACAAAAATATTTTTCTACATGTCCATGACATTGTTATTCATGTTATTGTGAATTTTATTTACTAATCAAACTACTTAACCTTCATATTACTTTACATTTTTGTATTGAATACATTCGAAAAATTCAAATATTTAAGTGAAGATAAATTCTGAATGAAGACGTTGATAAAGTAAAGGTTGGAAGTGGGAAATCGACTGGAAGCACGAGTTGGATGGAAACAAGCTAAAAAAAAAATGAATTTCTCATCTCCTACTACGTATTCTTAAATTTCACTAGAACAAGATAAATGGACCAAAAATATTCATCAAAAAGAAATACTACTGAATTTATCGTACAGCAATGTTTATTCGTTTGTTTGAATAAATATTTAGTATTAATTACATAATTAAGATATTACTTAAATGAAAGGAAAAGGAGAGAATAAAAGATTTCATAAACCGAATGAAAGATATTAATCATGTGAAGCGCTAGTTTCAACCAACATAAAATCTATTTTTTTTTAAATATTGTAATTTTATTGACTGAATTAACATAAATCAACGCACAATTTAGCTCTATGCTATGTTCTTTCACTCTCGTTGTTGGTCATTTGTTGCCAAGAGATCTGCTATTCCGATATAGATAAAACACCATAATCTTATACCATCATTTAGTGTATGTTATTATTTTCACTTCCTCATTGAAATATTAATGATCAGAAGGAGTTTTGTGGAAATTGTAGTAATTTCAATAGTTGAGATCATAAATCAATTGAAGCTAAACCACCATTGAAAACCTGGAAGCACTGGATAGCCGTTTCCTCCTATTGTGAGACTCCTCAACAGTGCGAATACACGATCCTGCCTCACGGGATTCGAACCCAGGACCTACCAGCCCCGCGTGCAACAGCTTAACCACTAGACCACTGAGCTGGCCGGCATCCAACGGTGTTAATGTCTAACTTCAACTAATCCACGAAATTGATCTATAAAACCTTTTTCAATGTAAAAACTCTTATTCTATAAAAAAACCATATCTTTTAGTCTTCTCGTTGTTGGTGAGTAATAATAATAATAATGATTAAGTAGTTTCCGGTTATGTAGAAAACAAATTGTAATGGTAGCAGTGATAATAATAATAATAATAATGTTCCAACTCTCTATTAATTGTTCCTCTGAGTGATTGATTGATGAAATCAATATGAATGAGATGAAATAATTTATTAAAATCAACACTTGTTTAAATAAAATGATCTATCATTGACCTTGCCTAATTTATTCGGTTACTTCTCATAAAATTTGGAGTGAGAACAAAATGGAAAAGGGGAAAAATAGAGAGAAAAACAAAATAAGGTACATTTGCGTTTGATCATCTGTGTGTGTGTGCGTATCTTTTAAGAAGAAATGGACTGAATATCAATGAATAAATAAATAACAACCGTTTGTTTTATTTATGAATATATAAAACTGTAATGTTGTAATTTCCTTTTCGTGTAGTCATCTATAAGAAAAATCCCGTCTATATTATAAACAAAGATTTTGTTATTATTGGCATTATTACTGGTACAATAATAATAAATACTACTACTACCACCACCACCGGTATTTTTCTTTTCAGTAGTATTCAGGTAAATTAAATGTTGATCTACCGACTACTGACGTAAAAACAATCTTGTGTTGTGGTGATAATTTTTGAACGTCGATCAATATATCACTGATAGTGATTGAATCACGTTTAATATTTGATAAAATATTTAATCAGTAAATATATATATATATATATATATATACATAAAACTAAATCTAACTGACAAAATATCATCTTACTATACTACTGACAACTATAATTTGTACTAATGTAATTACTACTATAATAAATAATAACAAACATTTAATACAATCAAAGTACAGGAATGAAAACTTATTAGTTTACGTCATTATCTATTTACAACTTAATTTGTAATCATTGTACTTTTTCTTCTCTCTCTCTCTCTGTGTGTGTATGAGTGTACATTCAAGATATTGTTTTGATTTGTATAAAATGTTTGTGTCTACCCTTTTCTTGTCATTCTTTTTCTTTTCTTTTTAAAAATAAATATCTCCGTTCAGTTGTGTTAACATCAACAGTAATTCACATGACTATTTATTATTTACTAAAATGAATGTTATTTCCATTGTATACGAAAGGTTATTCAGTTACCTGTCAATAATTACTATGCGTACAAACACATATGCACATGCATACAACAACAACAACAACAACAAAAATTAAAGGGGGGAAAAGGTACAAAAGAAAAAACACCAGTTGGTGTAAGGTTGATTGAAATTTTTTTACCGACTAGATTATGTGATGATTATGTTCACTTCAACTTAATCAGTTCAATGGGATTAGAAAATAATGTCAATACAGTTTATTCTTTACTGTGATTTCTAGCTAAATAATTGTTAATACTTGTAAGTGTATTAGGTGTTAATAAACATTTGATAAGTAGTGTAAGTTTATATTAACAAATACCTATTGAACATACGATTGATTATTGTAACTACATTTCTGAATCAGTAACACTTTGGTACTTTTAAAGTGATTTATGGTGATTTAGAGTGGTGTTTTGGGAAACCGACATATTAGTTTTCGAATACATGAATTCATTACCAAGTAATAATAATAATAGTAATAAGTAATCAATACATCTACTATCTCTGTCTGTAATCGACTTGTCGTAGGATTTAATAAGCAAATAATTATGTATATTGGATGGGAACTGATTGCGGAAAAAGATGATATTTTTGTTATGTTTTCAGGAAATTATATGAATTGAAATTAAAACGCTACAGAGAAAAAAGCTCCTAGAATTACAAAAAACAAAGAACTAATTGTGTTTTACTTACCCCGACATTTGGTATCCTCATCAGTGGCTGCTTTTACTGATTTGATTTTTGTTTGATCCGGTGGCAATTGCCATAATTGTTCATCATCAAAATTTTCTGGTAATCCTTTTATGTATAAATTCGTTCTTGACATTTTCTCAGCTCCTGTACTCGCATTGCCATTTTGATGTAATTGTGATTGATGATGATGAGGGTGATTGTGTGTGGAATAATTGGTTTTTGAAAATTTCTTGCCAAACTGATTAACACCACCTCCATCTCGATCTCCATCACTACCAGTAACACCACCACCTGTGATACTATTACTACTGCTATGCTGATCCGATGTCATTGTGATATCGTTCATACTACTCATTGTTGTATTTACGTTTATACTAGCTGGCTTTGGATTATTGTTATTATTATTATTGGAACATTGAATGGATTCATTAGATAAATATCCCCTAAGACCACCATTTTGTTCAACACAATCCGCTAAATCTTTCATTGATTCTGTACGATTTTGTTCAATTGAATTAGGTGAACGCATTTTAGTCGTTTGTTGTTGTTGTTGTTGTGGGCATGGATCAGGATAGATGTATGTTTCATTCGATGTTGGCATGTGATAATGATGAAGAGTTTTAATTAATTAAACGAAGTAATCAGTGAAAAAAACTGTGTTTTTTGTTGTTGTTGTTCCAATAAACTTAATTCCTTTCTTTGATATTTCCAAAAATAATATGAACCATGAAAATAAGTTCTCGAATGCAGAAAAAAAACGATCTGAATTCTTCTTTAAAGAAAGATGTACAAATTTAAATCTTCCAATACCTGAGGATTTACTGTAAATGTATTTGTTGATGTGTTGTGTGTATACACGTGTCGTTATGTATCCTAATAATAAAAAGTTGATTTGAATAAGATGACCTCAATTTTAATGCGTCACAATAGTTAACCTGTTTTGACGTAATTGTAATAATATTCAAGACTAGTCACAGTTTCCAATCTCTTACTCATAATGTCGTAGATAAAACTATTTCAAACGAGCACACTTTCTATACGAGAATATGATATGTTTGTCTATCTATCAATGTATATAATTTGGCTTGAATTCACTTCTGAATTTATGCCGTACTATTATTAATATCTTAATTCATATGCACATAAACCAATACACATTATTCAAAGAGTTGTGTACCTGTTTTGAAATAACCATTCAAATGAGATATTCACTATCACATAAAATGAAATGAGCGATACACGGACAGAGAGGAGATAGAGATGTAGAAGAGTGAATAGACAGGTAAATTTATATCTTTGGTCTAAGTTGATGATTTCAAGAGGAAAAAAAAATGCAATTAGTAATAATGACTATATCCATGACGTACTAGTTTTTTTTCTCTTTTTTTTATACCTAAACATACATACAATTTGCATGTCGTTATGTTTATATTACAATTGATAAGCGAACAACTAAATCATAATAATAAGAAACAATCATTCTTATTGGTCTATATGTTTTAGGGAATGCCATTTCTTTTTTTTCTTCTTCTGTACATTGAATATCTCTAAACAACATCGAACACATTCTATCAACAAATATTCGATTACTGTGTTCTATCCCAACAGTTATGATGATAATGAAGATAGAAATGACTTTCGAGGTTAATGCAAGTGTATGATTGACAGGAGTTTCTTCTATTGTACACTACAATAATGAGGTGAACAGACATAGTCACACATACGAATGTATATTTATATGTGCACACACACACATAGTAGAAATTCTAATTTGGTAATTTCATATGCGATGATTTTCTTTGTTTCTATATTCTTATGACTATGTTAGAGGAAATAAAATAGTTAAACTATAAAGCTATTTTAGATTTTTATTATGAAATATCGATATAAAAGTAACTGTAGGCTGTAAGATATAACATAACTTGAGCATCGAAATAAAATAGAAGATATAAAGTAGTGACTAATGTCATGTACGTTCTAGTCCCTTAAATTGCTAATTTCTAATGCTAATCTAATTCTAATTATCAAGTGAAATAGTATGAAATGTAGGTTCAAAGTTTCTTTCTGATTACCTTCATCCATCTCACATCTTAATATAATGCAGACGATATCAGGTAACTTAGACTAATAGTCATATTATGACTCTTAATTGACAGAATTCAATCCGAACTAGATAATCATGGCATTGATCAATCAATTAAAAATATTTCTCAGTTAATTGTAACCTGAATAATTCATGAGTAATGTCTTAAATTGTGAAGCTAAGTGATTAGGAAGCGAATCTTCAGGTATATCGTACTGAAGGCTGTAAGATATAACATAACTTGAGCATCGAAATAAAATAGAAGATATAAAGTAGTGACTAATGTCATGTACGTTCTAGTCCCTTAAATTGCTAATTTCTAATGCTAATCTAATTCTAATTATCAAGTGAAATAGTATGAAATGTAGGTTCAAAGTTTCTTTCTGATTACCTTCATCCATCTCACATCTTAATATAATGCAGACGATATCAGGTAACTTAGACTAATAGTCATATCGTACTGAAGATTCCCGACTAACATGAAACCTAGGTTCAGGATTTCTTGTCGACTACTTCAAACTATCTAACACACTTATGATGTATATTTTATTCATTTTGAATAATAATAATAATAATAATAACATAATCAGATTTGAATGAACTGCAGCTTGGGTGAATTCATCACTAATCACTAAGTCATAACTTATCACTTGACTCGACTTGTTAATACCGAAATCTTAAAAAAATGTTACCATGAATATAAGGGCGGCCTGCTTGAGCATCTGGGCTACCTGTTCCTGCCATCTAGATATTTCAACAAGTTATCTATTGTTGTTTGCTTTAATATATCATTATGTTTATTAATCGCATAACCTATTCTGCTGCGTTTCTGAAAAGTGTACAACCTTTCGTTGTCAAAGTTACAGAAAACTCAATAAGAGACAATATGGTTGCTGGCAATGTACAACGAAAAGAATGTACATTATTCAGTTGTTCATTCACTGAAGTGCTAACATCTAACTGGCGATCACTCAATATTTATCGCGAGGACCGACCAAGAAGAAAGAAACGGAAACTTGTTGAAATACTTTACGCTGAGAATTCTATATTGTACCAAAAATATAATATTGAATAAAGCTAATAATAATAATAATAATAATAATAATAATAATAAATAACTTACTGAGTATTATCTCCTTGATCTTATAACATTATGAATACGGAATTGAATAGAATTGTTTCGACGAGGTGGAAATAAATGGCAAATATCGGGATTTGGGTTTTAATTGGCAACATTGAAATACAAATATATTCATTTGACATGTATTAATGCTAGCAAGGATTCATGGAGTCCTTCACTGACACATGAATTCATTATGCAATCATTTTCCAATTCTGTACACAATTTAGAAATGAATTCAATAATTTCCGTCACATCTCCATAGTATGGATGATTCAGCAAACGTGTGTATAATTTGTCTATAAATTCAAACTGATTCTTTTTAAAACACTGCTGTTGTCGCTGATATAGCAACTGTGATTGATCGGAAGGGAGAGCCATTTTCTATTTCTTTATGAATCATCATGGTAATGAAAAATACTGTATGACTTATTAACAACCAATGTCGTTCAAGGATATCGACGACCATTCTGTATGCTGACTGACCAAAATAGTTACACTGATTTTCGTCCAATTACTGGTTGAACTGGGTTCCTTTGTTTTAACCCCATCGCTACTGATATGTCTTGTCGATTTAACGCTAATTGTTATATCTGGTCTTCGCTGATTGTTGTGGTGGATACGCTTATCACTTATACTCGAAACGGAGGATTTCTTCAGTTGCCACGATGCGAAGGTTTATTAACCCCCGAAACACGATTATGACGACGACCCTAGTCGAAAACGCATTCATTTATATATTAATTGTACACACACTTTGATTAATAATTAAAATGAAATCACATATATAAAAAATACTCAGTTATGACAAATCGTATGCTGAGCATAGTTCATGTCAATTGAATACAAGAATATGTTATACAGAATAAAAAGGTCATACGGGAAAACTCAAGCGAATACTACACTGAATAATCACCACATTGAATTAAAAAAGACGAGAATAATGTTGAATAAAAATCATAATGAGTGAATCAATCTAATTTTCACTTTTCTTCCAATCATATAACAATCAAATTCTGCTTCAAAAATGCTTATGACTTAATGATAATATTGAGGCATCCTTACAGGATGTACATAATCTAAAAAGAGACTGATCAATTGAGGTTCTAAACGTCAATGGGTACATTCAGACAACTAAACAAATAAATTTACTTTTCAGTTCAATAGTTTATCTGCCTTCCTCTATGGATAAGGTTCACCGCGTCATTCTTTTTTTCAGATATTCAATGTCTTTTCTTTATTCAATGTCACATTGAGTTACTTCCTCTATTCTATTATGTGTTTATCGCCATTTCGGTCCTGAAATTTTTTGTAAGGAAATCTATTTATTTATCTATTTATCCATCTTTAGAGAATATTCCCAAGTGGATAAACCAATAAATACGGTAAATAATAAATACTGTTTTATAAAAATCAATATGAATATCTGGGTTCTCTGTGATAAATTTTGAACAAGATAAGAACAGAACTGAATAGAAAGTGAATCAACATAGGAAAGAAGTAGAAACAGTAGTTTTTATTCGAATGTGTGGATATTGTTAATTAACCAGTAAGCATGATCTCATTATACATGATATAAATAGGATTAGTGTAAAATACTATTAAGTGACATATTAAAGTGAATTAACACGATAGTCAATCCCTCGAATGGTTGTTATATAAATCCACAATCAATATAAGACAGTTTCATGTGGATAGACCTACTTCTTAAACTGACCAAATCATTCCATCTAAAACGTTTTATGCATTCAATTTTTTAATATTCCCACTGAACTGTATTCTAAGTAATCGAAGTTTCAATGAATAATAACAGTAATGATGACAGTAATAAAGTAGCATTGAGATTAAAAGCAAAAACTGGTGAAACAGTGAGTGATTTAACAAGATTCAATGTTATACTAAAAATGTGGAGTAAGAGGATTATAAACCAGAGAATTCAAATTTATTTATTCTGTTAAGGTGACTCATAGTGATTGATCATGCGACTTCATGATCATTTACATCATGAACTGTCTCCAGTTAAACCAATTAGTTACTTCCATTAGGAAGTTCCAAAATTCTATTTGCAAAAGTCAGTAAGGGTTGAGGAAACACAAGGAAACATTTTGTCAAATCAGGATGGGATAGAAATTTCTCTGGAGCAACTAGAAGGACGACAAATCATTTTCCATCTTTTTGATCGAATGATTATCTTCTAGTACTGTCTAGACGACCAAGGTCACGTTAAATGGTATGACTACGCACAACTATCTGTTCATACATTTATCTTGGAGTAACGTTCTTTTCTATACTTCGCGCTTTTTCTCTTGTATTCAAGTTACCGTGTAAATTTAGTTTGCCGTAATTAGGAGCGACTCGGAAATTTGATCGAGCATTCAATGAATGGATTTATCAGTTT